CTCCTCCTCCTCCTCCTCCTCCTCCTCCTCCGGCTCCTCTTTCTCTTCCTCCTCCTCCTCTCCCTCCTCCTCCTCCTCCTCCTCCTCCTCCTCCTTGATGACTAGGGGGGGTGGATCTCATGGCGTGGGCCATGATGTTTCCCCAGATTGCATGGCGCCTCTGCTTATTTGAATGCGTCCCTGGCCCCCCCCCCCTAGGCCGCGCACATGCCGCCGGCCATGATTTGCGCCCCCCCTCTTGGTCGCCCTACCATGTTTGAGCATTTTTTGGCCATTTTCAATTTTTCCTCCAAAATCCGCCTGTAGGGGGACATGCCCGACCCAAGTCTATCCGGGTCTCCACGCCGGCGCGGGCCGCGAGGACGTCGCGGTCGTGCAGACGCCCGCCGCGGAGCAGGACGAGGAGACTTGGGGGGGTGGATCTCATGGCGTGGGCCATGATGTTTCCCCAGATTGCATGGCGCCTCTGCTTATTTGAATGCGTCCCTGGCCCCCCCCCCCTAGGCCGCGCACATGCCGCCGGCCATGATTTGCGCCCCCCCTCTTGGTCGCCCTACCATGTTTGAGCATTTTTTGGCCATTTTCAATTTTTCCTCCAAAATCCGCCTGTAGGGGGACATGCCCGACCCAAGTCTATCCGGGTCTCCACGCCGGCGCGGGCCGCGAGGACGTCGCGGTCGTGCAGACGCCCGCCGCGGAGCAGGACGAGGAGGAGGAGCCGGCCGCGGAGGCGCGCCCCGGGGCCGTCCCAGGGGGCCAGTGGGCCCGCCCTCCCCGCCGCCTCCAGAGGGGGAGAGGAGGAGGAGGTTCGGAGGTTGAAGAGGTGCCCAGACATGATCGCGTCGTGGCAGAAACCAGGGCGGGAGGCTTTCGGCCATCTGCGGCCTCGGGGGGCCCTCGCCGGGCCTCGGGGCCGTCAACAAAACAACTCCGGATGAAAAACCGGTCCCGGGGAAAGGGTCGGTATTGCCAGGGGCCCCGTATTGAAAATCAACGGGGAGTGGCAAACGTGAAAACGTGGCGCGGCCCCCCCCCCCCCGGCACCACCCCCGCGCCCCAGCAGGGAAGAGATCGAATTCCAGACCCCCCTACCACCCCCGCGGGTGCGCCGCGGCCAACCCCCCCACTCCAGGGGGGGGGGCGATTATGAAGCGATCCAGAGTACCCGGAGGAGGAGGAGGAGGAGGAGGAGGAGGAGGAGGAGGAGGAGGAGGAGGAGGAGGAGGAGGAGGAGGAGGAGGAGGAGGAGGAGGAGGAGGAGGAGGAGGGTGTGCACGTGATGCTGGCCGTGGCGGAGGCGCGCTCTCGTTTCCGCCACCCTGCGGTCACCTGCGTGTGCGACGAGGCAGGCGGGCGACGGCCCGGCCACACTGACGCTGCGAGCCTCGTCTCCGCGACCTGCCCGAGAGAGGCGCCGCTACTGGTGCCCCTCGCCCGTTTCCCCTTTGGTCGACTTCCCGGGGGGTGTCGTCGCCACCGCTGGACGTTCGCCTCGAGATCCTGGTCAGAGCGCGCGCCGGGATAGGTCAAGGGGTAGCCGTATTGGTAGCCGTATAGGCGATGACGGACCTGATGGGGGGAGAATGGGAGGGTGGGGGAGGGTGGGGGGAGCCTGTCACGTCGCGATTCGCGCCGGCGCTGGGGGTAAGGGGGGGGAAGAGGGGGGAGCTGGTCTCGCTGGCGCCCTCTGGGAAAGCTTAGGAATGGCTCATTCCCAGACGGCGCCGTCTCAGATCGTCACGTGACCCGGGGGAGGGGGGGGCGGGGTCGGTCACGCGCGTCATCGCGCATATTGTGGTAAAATGGTTCAGTGGAGGAATGTATACCGATACCGCCACTCTGTCCTCGTCACCACGGCTTGAGTCGCTTGGAAATCCTTGTGTGATCGCCCCGCAAAGCGGGTCCGGAGAAGGAGGAGGAGAAGGAGGAGGAGGAGGATGAGGCGCCTGAATCTTTTTGTACATGCTGGAATTTCATCCGCTCTAGGATTTCGAGCGCAAGGAAGCGTCGAGCGAAGCGTCTGGCCTGGCCTACAGACACGTCGGATGTCGCGATTGTTGTTTTATAAAGAAGCGGGATGCTGCAGGAGGAAGAGGAGCAGGAGGAGGAGGAGGAGGAGGAGGAGGAGGAGGAGGAGGAGGAGGGCTAGAGTAAACCCAGGATGCGTCAACGATGCTGCAATACGCCCAGCCGATCCAAGTTCCCTCATAAATCCCTGCGAGCTTTTGTTTTCTCTTTCACTGCAAAAAGAGCCCTCTTGAGATACCAGCGCCCCATGAGCCTGGCAAGCGAAAGCCCCGTTTTGAGAAGACATGGCTTTGCATCCTTCTAGCGAGTAGTGGGGAGTGCGAGCACGCACGTCTGTTCGTGCACTTCAGCTAGGTGTCCAGCCGTACCCTCGGTTTTTGAAACAGAGCCGCCCCCACTAGTGTAACTGGTGCACATGTCTACACAGGTTCTAGACGCTTCGCGTAGCCCCACCAGCCCATCCAGAAACGATGCCCAGACAAGTTGCCCTGTTTAGGGATCTGGAGGAGCATGCAGTGAAATACAGGGCTGGGCAAGGCATCGTACCGCAAGATGGGGGGATGGATGAGGAATCTGAGGAGGAGGAGGAGGAGGAGGAGGAGGAGGAGGAGGAGGAGGAGGAGGAGCAGGAGCAGGAGGTGCAGGAACAGCAGGAGGAGGAGGAGGAGGAGGAGGAGGAGGAGGAGGAGACAGGACAGAGGCCTCTTGGATGCCTCTCGGAGCCTTTTCGGTTTTTTCTCGAGAGTTTCCTGGACTCCTCTTGAGGCGTCCTGGGGTTTCTTGGCAGTCCCGGGGTCCTCTTGAGGCGTCTTGGGTGCCTCTGGGTGGCTTCTTTAGGACCTCTTGGTCTCTCCGACGCTTTTTGGAGGCATCCTGGGGGCATCTTGGGGGCCTGTTGGGGGCCTCCTGGGCACCTCTTGGGGCCGTCCTGGGGAACCCTTGGGAGGAGGCTCGGGGGCAATTTTGGGGCCATCTTGGGAGAGATCGATCAGAAGAGTAGGGCTCCTTGATTCGAGTTCCCCCCTGGAGGCCAACATGTGGTCAACATCTTGGTAGAATCAGTGATGGTGGCCTCCGCGCCGAGGCGTCTTGGGGCGTCTTGGGGAGCCCTGGGGGGGGCTTCTCGGGGGTCTCTTGGGAGCCTCTTGGGGGCATCTTGGGGGCATCCTGGGGGTGCCGTTTTGGGGCTCCCTTGGGAGGCTCTGGGACAATTTTGCGGCCATCTTGGATGATATTGATCAAAGCATGGGTTTCTTGACTTAGCCCCGCTCTCCAGGAGGCCAACATGTGTCCAAAATCGTAGTAGCACAAATGATGTTGGCCTTCTCGCCGAGGCCGCTTGGGAAGTCTTGAGTGCCCCTTGTGGGGCTTCTTGAGGCCTCTTGGTGGTCTCGTGGGAGCCTCTTGGGGACATCTTGGGGGCATCTTCGGGGCCTACTGGGGGCCTCCTGGGCACCTCCTGGGCACCTCTTGGGGCCGCCTTGGGGCACCCCTGGGAGGCTCTGGGGCCATGTTGGGGCCATCTTGGAGCAGATCGGAAAAGGAGTGGGGCTCCTTACTTAGGTTGCCCCCCAAGAGGCCAACATGTGGCCAACACCTCAGTAACATAAGTGCTGCTGGCTTCCTCGTCGAAACCCTTGGGGCGTCTCGGGTGCATCTGGGGGTGCTCTTGGGGTCTCTTGGGAGCCTCTTGGGGGCATCCTGGGGGCCTTTCGGGCCTCCTGGGCACCTCGTGGGCACTCTTGCGCCACCCTTGGGGGCCTCGGGTGCCATCTTTGGGGCCATCTTGGAGGAGACCGATCACACAATTGGGAGGTTCTAATTCGCGTTGCCCCCCCCGCCCAGGAGGCCGACATGCTGTCAAAACCTTAGTAACGTCAATGATGATGGTCCTCTCGCCGAGTACTCTTAGGGGTGGGGCTTGGGTGCATCTGAGGGACTTCTTGGGGGTCTTCTCTTGGAAGCCTCTTGGGGGCATCTTGGGGGCATCTTGGGCGCTCTTAGGGGCCTCCTGGGCACCTCTTGGAGCCGTCTCGGGGTACCCTTGGGAGCCTCGGGTGCCATCCTGGAGGCGATCTTCTAGGAGATCGATGAACAGAGTGGGGCTCCTTAATTGGACCCCCTCCCCATGAGGCCAACATGTGGTCCAAACATCAGTAACATAAATGATGTTGGCCCTTCGCCGAGGCCGCTTGGGGCGTCTTGGGAGCCTTTAGGGGGCTTCTTGGGGCCTCTTGGTGGTCTCTCGGGGGCCTCTTGGGGACATCTTGGGGGCATCTTGGGGGTCTATTGGGGGCCTCCTGGGCTTCTGGGCACCTCTTGGGGCCGCCTAAGGGCACCCTTGGGCGGCTGGGTGGGACATCTTGGGACCATCTTGGGGGAGATATATCAAAGGAGGGCTTCTTACTTATGGTCTCCCCCAGCGTTTTGATACGGTTGCTAAGCATGTTCAGCGGTCGTCTTTGGATGGGCAGCCACTGGGAACCAACACCGCCGCCATCTGCGCGACGTTGGGGCGAGGTGCGCCACGCGTGCCATGCGCTCCGCGCGCGCCAGGTACCCCTGTGGTCCGAGCGTGCGAGGCACGCCTGGTGCGCCAGATGCGCCGCGTGCTCTGCGTGCGCCAGGTGTGCAGCATATCCCAGCCGCGCCAGGTGCGCCACGTTCGGGGCACGTGCAGAGTGTGTCAGGTGCGCCTGCGCACGGGACAGCGCACATCGGGAAACATGCTGCCCCCACTATCCTCGTCGAAGATCAATGTCCGTCATTGTATCTGCTGGGCCGACGCACAGCAGGCCATACGCAACCATTCCCGCCGTACTTGCAACACAACACTTGACAGTAATCGCGGGCATGATCCAGATTTTGCCGCGAGGTGCGCTTTGTATGGTTTTGTCAGGGATGGTAGCCCTGTGCGCAGCAGGCAATCTGCCGACACCCCCGCCGTCCATTTCAAAACAATACAAACTGCTCGCGGGCCTCACGAACATGACTTAAGACTTCGCCCCACCATGTACACCATGTACTTTGTATTGTTTTCCCACTTGTCCTGTGAAGTTGGGCCCTCGTTTTGACGGGCCCCACCTTCCTCCCCCCTCCTCCTCCTCCTCCTCCTCCTCCTACCTCCTCCCACTCCTTCCTCTGCTTTGCGCGTGCCGTCATCATCATTATCAACATTATCATCATCATCATCATCATCATCATCATCATCATCATCATCATCATCATCATCACCTATCACCATCACCATCACCATCACCATCATCATCACCATCATCATCATCATTTCCATGTTTCATCTTTCATCATCATCATCATCATCATCATCATCATCATCATCATCATCATCATCATCATCATCATCATCATCATCATTACCATCATCACCATCGTCATCATCATCGTCATCATCATCGTTATCATCAGCAGCATCATCATTATCATTGTCACCACCATTATCATCATCAACACCACCATCACCATCATCATCAGCATCTTCAGCATCATCGTCATCACTGCCGGCTTAAGCTTATCCTTCGGTGGGCGCGAAGCTGCCTCCACTGCAAGCTTCCGGCCGAGCGATGGCCCGCCTTGTGCTCGCAGTCGTCGCCCTCCTGCTTGCCGGTCAGAGCTGCGCCGCCGTGGAGGACACGACCACCGTCGGGGAGGAGCGGCGCCTGGAGACCACCGAAGCGCCGACCAGCACGGAGCCCGTGTCCGCGGCGCCCCGCACGGGCGGCCTGCGGCCAGTGTTCTTCGCGCTCCTCGCGCTCGTGCTCGCAGGGAACGGCTGCGCCGCCGTGGAGGACACGACCACCGTCGGGGAGGAGCGGCGCCTGGAGACCACCGAAGTGCCGACCAGCACGGAGCCCGTGTCCGCGGCGCCCCGTACGGCCTGCTTGGGCCCTCTGATCGTCTTCGGCGCTTCGCTGGGCATTGGTGTCAGGCGCTGAGCCGTCAGGCGGCCCCGCGGCAGACGGTGCTTCCTGCTAACTTCGGCCATTCTTGCAGGGTGAGTGGAAGACGGATCGCCCGCATGCACAAGGCTGCTCGGGCGCTGTAATTGTTGGTATCTACGCACCGCTCTCATATAGGCTCCAGAGCGGTCGTTGTCGGACTCATCGCGTTGCATACGTCGACGCGGTGCCGAACGAATTGTTTCCCCGCCGCTCACGGCTGCTTCTATTGGCTCGTTCAGGAGCCCCCAACGCAGAACATCTGTCAGGATTTGCAGGGCACCAGTAATAGTCATCATCGCCACTTACACGTTGTGTTCGCATAGTTTATCACCATGTTGGCCGAGATATTCGACTTCCTCTTCCCCGATAGAAGGTAATCATAAGCAACATTGCCATCGTCTTCATCATCATCATCATCAGGATCATCATCAGCATCACCATCACCATCAGCATCACCTTCACCATCATCATCACCATCACCATCAGCATCATCATCATTATCATCATCACCACCACCATCATCATTAACATTACCATTACCATCATCATCATCATCACCACCATCATCATCATCATCGCCATCGTCATCGTCATCACCACCATCATCATCATCACCATCATCATCATCAGCATCATCACCATCAGCATCATCATCATCATCATCGTTATCATCCTCGTTATCATCGTCGTTATCATCATCATCATCATCATCATCATCATCATCGTCGCCATCCTCATCGCCATTGCCATTATCCATCTGCAGCCCGCCCCTCACACGCGTTTCGTGGCCCCATGGGGAGCTGCACCTAAGGCACCAGTGGCAGCGCCAGCATGACACCACAACACCCGTTTCGGCACACCCTTCACGCGTTTCGTGGCCCTGCAGGGAGCTCCACCGAAGGCCCCAGTGACAGCGCCCGCGTGGCACTTCCGCAGCAGTTTCGGCACGTTTCGTGCCCCATATGGAGCTCCAGCGACGGCCCCAGTGGAAGCGCCCGCATCGCACCACCGCACCCGTTTCGGCACACCCCACACAGGTTTCGTGGCTCCATAGGGAGCTCCACCTAAGGTCCCGGTGGCAGCGCCCGCATGGCACACCGCACCCGTTTCGGCACACCCTTCACAAGTTTTGTGCCCGATAGGGAGGTCCACCTAAGGCCCACGAGGCAGCGCCCGCATGGCACCCCTGCAACCGTTTCGGGACTCCCCTCACCCGGCTTGGGCCCCATAAGGAGCTGCACCTAAGGCGCCGTTGGCAGCGCCCGCATGGCACCACCGCGCACGTTTGGGCACACCCCTCACACGTTTCGTTGCCCCCTAGGGAGCTGCACCTAAGACCCCAGTGGCAGCGCCCGCGTGGCACCACCGCACCTGTTATGGCACACCCCTCACATGTTTCGGGCCCTGCAGGGATCTCCACCGAAGAGGACACGCTCCACCGCGATATTCCCAACTGCATACGGTTGTGTCTTTCGCCCGGAACTTTTGAAAAGGGAAGGGATGGTGGGGGGGGCGCATCGGGTTGGTTGCTGTCCCCACCGCTTTGAAACCAAGAACAGCTATGCTGAATCCATGTCCGAAGATTGCGCACCTACTCGCTGGACATCACCAGCCACTCGAAGACTGCGTGTGAGTGAGCGCGCCGCAAGGGAATATCCTTACAGCATCCACGTAAGCAGTAATGTAAAGTCAACTAGGCGAACCCCACTGCCTGCAATAAACAATGGCTCGGAATGAAGTGCATCACCAATCAAACATGAAACAACTTTTGCGTTTCCAGCCGATCGATGTTCGCCCAAGGTTGTTTCTTTGTCAGCAGGATCGAGATTCGACGGTGTTCTTCCGTCGAGTGCCAGCCGTGATGCCCCTCAGCGCCACGTGGAGGCGAAAGGCTCGATTCTGAGCGACATCACGAACAAGCCAGAACGCTTACGGAACCGCCTCGAACCGATCCTTCTGGGAGGAGGAGGGAGGAGGAATAGGAGGAGCAGGAGGAGGAGGAGGAATAGGAGGAGAAGGAGGAGGAGGAATAGGAGGAGGATGAGGAGGAGGACGAGGAGGGAGGATGAAGGAGGGAGGAGGGAGGAGGGAGCAGGGAGGAGGGAGGAGGAGCAGCAGCAGCAGCAGCAGCAGCAGCAGACGGCGGCGGACGGCGGGCCGTGGCGAGCCCCGGGCCGCCCGCAGGCTGCTTTCGCCGCCGCGACCGACAAGCCGGCGCGGGGTGTCCCGCTGCGCCACATCACCAGCTTCTCCGCGCTTACGGCCGGCCGCCCCCCCCCCCGCCCCCGCTAGGGGGCCACATGCGAACCCTACCCCTACCCCCCACGACTTCTGAGGGGGAGGGTGGGGTTCACCTCGCTCGGGAGCTCCCGAGCGAGGTGAACCCCACCCCTCCCCCTCGGAAATCGTGGGGGGTAGTGGTAGGGTTCGCATGTGGCCCCCTGCCCGCACGAGCACGCTCTGGCGGCCGCCGCACCTGAGAACACCACGCAGGACGCTTTGATGGGGTGCACCACGGGGGCCTCTTAGTGAGTTTTCGCTAATCGATTAGCCATGCTCTGCTGCCGATGCGCCGTCCAGCGACGACGACGACGATGACCATGACCCCGACCACGACCACGATCACGACAAACGACAACGACAATGACGACGACGACGACGTCGACGACGACGACATCGGCGACGAGTCCACCATAAAGCCTTCGCGCAGGTTTCGCTCCGCGAACTCTTGAGGAAGCCTCTTGAAGGCCTAGTTGAAACCTCGTGGAGCCATCTTGGCACCATTTTGGAATCCTGTTGGGCCTTTTTCGGGTCCTCTCAGGGCTCTTTTGTTTTTTTTGCGCCCTCCCTTGTTGGAGCTTCCCGTGACGGTAAAGCTAGCAATGTTGTGGCTGACATGCTCGTCAGCCTTAGGGAGGCCCTAGCATACTCCGTTCCGTGCTCATGCAGTTTTGGGCCCTGGCATGTATAGCTTCCTTGCAACGTATTCAAGAATCGACCGACATCCAGATGAGACGTGTGAGCCAGGTGCCTCGCAAGCCGTTGCAGACTCCCCAGAAAGTCATTTACCAATCGCTGATTCCTGATGGGGCAGTGGATCTGCGCAGCGACTCATCCTATCGAGCACTCACCAGGGAGGAGGGCGACTAGGCAAAAGGGCACCGCCTACGAGGCTGTAGTCTGCGAGCCCTGTGGAAGTACGAGCAACGGACAACGTGCTGTGCATTTTCTAGGCAGTCTTTGTAAAGGTCATCGCCTCCAGGTCAGGTCAAGCTGCGCTGCAGACGCGTAAGCAGCTGCTCACGGCTTGGATGAGTTCTGGCCAGCACTGATTACCTTGACCAAGCTCATAAATTTACCTCCACCACATTCAGAATTCAAAAGACTTCGTCAACAGGTTGAACTCTGTATTCAAGTATCCCTCACCATCGCCGCCGAATCCGTTTACAACTCCTTTATCATCAAGGATCTCAGTACATTTGCCGATCAGACTTTGTTTGGACACATCAACTGGTGACGGGACTTTCTGGACCTCGGACTCGTCCCCAATGTCCAGTGGTGCGACGCCCGCGACATGACTGCTGATGGACACACCTAGGGTACCGGTCGTCATAGACAATTACTGCAAGTAGTGGCGGGCGTTCAGAGTCACAAGCATGAGGTCAAGACACATGCCCCATATGGGGGCAACCGCCGTGCCCCCATCACCGCCATGTAACCGCTGTGGCCGCCTACTCGCATTCATGGACCCGTGAGGTGTGGTGGATTTTTTGTTTGCGGCCCCATAGTACAAAGTGTACAGAAAGTGGTGGCCATCTTGCTGGCCCCAGTTGTCGCGGAATCGCGACAGCTTCCCTTTGGCGCGGATTCGCGCCCACGCAGCGCAATTCGTAATCGCGGAACCGCGATTACAGCCTAAGTGTTTCGTGCGCCGATCCGATCAGGGATCGTTCCTTGTTGGTATCCGCTTGGGCTTGCAGGACTGGCCTGCGCTTTGTCCTGCTTCCAAACTGGATGTTTCCCAGCTTGCAATGCCCAGTGTTGCTTAGATCAACATCTTGTTGGAATCGTGGGCACATGGTTCCGACCTGTCGCGCCCTCCCCGAAGGGACGAGGGTCTTGGAAGAGGGACAAACGACTTCTTTTGGCCACTTACGCTCAGAGTACTGGCGGGATTACCCAGGACTTCGGCGACGACCGCGACGACGACGCCGACGACGACGACGACGAAGGTGATGACGACGACGATGACAACGACGATGAAGACGACGCTGACGACGACGACGACCACGACGACGACGTCGACCACGACGACGACGACGACCGCGAGTACGACGACGTCGACGACGACGACGACTGTTGCGACGACGACCGTGGCGACGAGGACGGCGATGACGGTGGCGGTCGCGACGAGACGACGATTTCCGATGGAGCAGCTTGTTCGTTTCGCAGTTCCCAGAGGTCTCGACCCTTCCCCTGGGGGGCAGTTGTTCGTCTTGCATCGTTTCCTGCTTGTCCTGAGGCCCACAGCGAAGCGGGTCCCAGATGCCCAACATTAAAAAAGGTCGTTGGGGCTGACCAGTTCAGTTCGCCCGACTTCCTGGGACCGTGGACGACGACGGCTGCTGCAGCGGCGCCACACTACCAGCCTCTCCGCGCTCGTGGCCGGGAGCCCCTGCCGTCGTTTTCTTGCTGTGCACCGGGGCGGGAAGGCCTGCATGTCTGCAGTGGAAGGCTGCTGTCCTCGTGCTCCCTGCCCCTCCTGCTCCTCCTCCGCCTCCTCCTCCGCCTCCTCCTCCTCCTCCTCCTCGTCCTCCTCCTCCTCCTCCTCCCCCCCCCCCTCCTCCTCGTCCTCGTCCTCCTCCTCCTTCCCCTTCTCCTCCTCCTCCTCCTCCTCCTCCTCCTCCTCCTGCTGCTCCTTGTCCTCCTCTTCCCTCTCCGCACGGAGAGCTGCGGCTCCGGATTCGGATGGCCCTGCGGGACCCGTGGCCATTCTTGTCGGTCCGATGGCGCCCAGGTATGGCGGATCCAGAACCATCTCGATGATGAGCCCAGTACGCTTGTCTAAACAGAAAGCGTCGTACACGCCGCGGCCTCCGCGACTCACACACGACCCGTGAAGGGATGGTTGAAGCCTTCCGAGGTCTGGGCCCCCTTGCTTTGTCACCCCCCCTGCCACATGTCCTTCTGTGTCCCCACCCTCCTCTACCTCGTCCTTGCCTTCGCCCTCTTCCGGGTCCCTGCCGCCTCGCTCTTGCTCCGCCATCACCTCCGCCCCCTCCACATCCCTCTGTGCCCTACTCACCCTCCCCTCTACCTCATCCTTGCTCTCGCCCTCCGCCTCCTCCTCCTCGCCCCATCCCTCTTCTGTCTCTGTGTGATCCGTCCGTGCGGGCGTCCCCAACCCCCTCCTCGCTCCTGGTGGGATCCGTCTGTGCGGGCGCCCCTTAGGTCATCTTGCGCCACGAAATGAGCGACCGAAGAATGGTATCTAATGGCTTTCGGTCCATCCCCCTGTTGGATTTTCGTTGGGATCTCGAGGGAGGCTTCTCGGGGGCCTCTTTGAGGCAGTTCGGACGCCTCTTGGGGGCCGTGTGGGTGCCTATTGGGGCCTCTTTTTGGGGGGGCCTTTTAGGGCCTCTTGGGGGCCTCTTGGGGCATCCTGTACGCCTCTTGGGGCCTCCTGGGGGCCTCATGGGAGAAGTTAGCTTTCTACCCCTCTTCGCCCCCCCGCCCCTCCCGAGCAAGACGCACGAAGCCGCCATGGCGAGTCTGCGCGCCCGCGGCCCCTCCCGCCTGCGCCTGCTCCCAGGGCGCAGAGGGGTGGATGGGCCCGTCCGCGAGGTCATGGCCGATGCGGAGGAGAAGGCCGAGGCGAGAAGAGGCTCCAAGGATGCCTCCTTTTTTTGCCGACGTAGCTGCTGCTGCGGCTTCTGTTTTGTTGCTGCTGTTGTTGTTGTTGTTGTTGTTGTTGTTGTTGCTGCTGCTGCTGCTGCTGCTGTTGTTGTTGTTGTTGTTGTTGTTGTTGTTGTGGAATTCTCATTTCTGAAGACTAATTATTGTTGATCCCCCCCACCGGTGCATACTGTTTTTTCTCGATCAAAGTGTGCCCCTCGACGCTCGCACCCTGTATTTTGACAGGGAAAGTCTTCCTGCTCAAGCTGGGCCCCTGGCCCCCGGGTTACAACGACAACGGCTCCCGCTTGAGATTTCATTACAATTTAGCCAGGGCCCCCGCTCCCGCCCGAGACTTCCTCGCACTTTATTCAGGAATCGCGCTCTCGCTTGGGACTTCCTCACAATTTATTCAGGAATCGCTCTCCCGGCGCTCTGGAGTCGCGCTCTCGCTGGAGACTTGCTTGCAACTTACTGAAGAATGGCCTTGCGTTGGAATTTCTTGCAATTTGCCCAAGCGCCGCGCTCCCGACACCCAGGCACCCAGGAGTCGCGCCCGTTGTGGCCCCATGTGCATGCCCTTCGTGGCCCCGCTGTCGCCATTTGTGTCCCCCTCACTGTCCTACGTGGCCCAGTTGCTACCCTCAGTGGCCCCATAGTTGCCTTCTGTGGCCCCGCATTATCTGCACTTCGTGGCCCCCGCTCGTTCGCGCTCTTCGTGGCCCCATACACATTCCCTTCGTGTCCCCGCTGTCGCCCTTCGTGGCCTACTTCGTGCCCTTCGTGGCCCTGCTGTCGTTCTCTCTCGCTCTCGCTTTCGCTCGTCGTCGCCGTCGTCGTCGTCGTCGCCGCCGTCTTCGACGTCGTCGTCGTCGTCGTCGTCGTCGTCGTCGTCGTCGTGGTCGGTCCCCTGTCCGTCCCTCCTGGGGTCGGGTCGACGGTCCGCGGACGCCCCGCCGATCAGCGCTGCCGCTGGCCAGGCCGACGGTCCGCGGCTGCCCCGCCGCTTGCCGGGGCCCGGCCTGTAGGGAAGAAAGGTATACCCCCCAAAAGGGTTCGATCGAGGACGAAGAGGGCGGGTATCGAGGGTTTGGGAAATACGCCTTACTGGACACTCGAGCATATAAGGGCGATCAGTTTTAAACTTATTGTTGTTGTTGTCGTTGACGTTGTCGTTGCCGTTGTTGTTGTTGTTGTTGTTGTAGTAGTTTGTGATGTTGTTTTGTTGTTGTGGTGGTTGTTGTTCGTTGAGTTCTCATTCTTAAAGAATATGTTTTGTGTTGTTGTTATGCTGATGTGGTTGTTGTTATTGTTGTTGAATCCTCATTCTTGAAGTTCGAGTATTGCGGTGTTGCAGTTGTGGTTGTTGTTCTGGTTGTTGTGGTTGTGGTGGTGTTTGTGGTTGTGGTTGTAGTTGTTGTAGTTGTTATTCGTTTCGTTGTTATTGTTGCTGTTGTTGTCGTTGTTGGTGTCATCGTCGTCGTTTTCGTCGGCGTTGTCGTTGTCTTCGTTGTTGTTGTAGTTGTTGTTGTCGTTTGTGTTGTTGCTGCTGCTATTGTCGTCGTTGTCATTTTTGTCGTCGTCGTAACCGTGCTTGTTGTCGTTATTGTTATTGTTGTCGTTGTTGAACATTATTAATTCTAAAGAATAATTATTGTTGGGACCCCTGGTGCACGGCCCCCCTGCGCCGCCTAGGCCGCAGCTACATTTTCATCATTTTCGTGAGGAAGCCTCAGGTAATACGATGTCATCAAGATCCGGTTGTTTTGTTGTAATCCGTTTTCCCTTGCAAAAAACACTATAAAATGACATTTCTTGTTCTAATATAATCAAATTTCAAGAATCCCTTGCAAAAAATAAGGTAAAGTGGACATTCGCGCGCGCAAGACGAAATCCTTCCAAAAGCTTAGTGTTCGGAGCGATTTTAACATAAAAACATCAAAAAACCAATGGTTTTTCAACAAAAAAATGTCAAAATCTCATCCCGCGCGCTCTTGCGGATTCGTAGGAAACCCAACACTTTTTAAACATTTCTGTCAAACGGGCTTTTGCGAGCAACTTTTTCGAACTTCTGCGACAACGGTTGCGCACCTGCCAGGGCCATCATCCCTGTCAAATAATACCATGCGGGACACATTCGTTTTTTCTTCGCGCGCGCACGCCGAAATCTCCAAAAACCATTGGGTTCTTAAGAATTTTAGCACCGCGCATCATAAAATCACACGAATCGCACCGTAGGTCCTCGAAAAACACCTGCACGACTTTTCAAAATTTCTACCCGCGCGCGCTGTCCTAACAACTTCTGTGGGTGTGTACTCCACGCCAGTGTAGTAGCCACGGTCGTCCGCAGGCCACGAAGTGAAGTGTCCGAACGTCATAGGGCGGGAAGCTGGGTGTGGGTGGTGGCGAAGAGTCGTGTGGATATTTGGTAGAGCTTGCACTGCCCCCCCACAAAGTGGGGGTATTGGCTGGCGTCGCATGAAAACCCTGGCACTTGTGAGAACACTGAGCGTTCGGGTAAAGTGATTGTTGTTGTTGTTGTTGTTGTGGTTGTGGTTGTGGCTGTTGTTGTTGTTGTTGTTGTTGTCGTTGTTGTTTTTGTTGTCGTTGTTGTTGTTTTGGTTTGGTTGTTGTTGTTGTTGTTGTTGCTGCTGCTGCTGCTGTTGTTGTTGTTGTTGTTGTTGTTGTGTAACTCTCATTCTTGTGTAATGAATGCTTTTGACGGTGTACACTCTGTTTTTCAACCGAAGTGCCCCTCTCGGGGCCCGCACCCTGTTTTTTTTATAAGGGGGCAGTCTTCCTGCCCAGACTGCGTGGTTGCCCCCCGGGCGAATTTCCACAAGGACGGCTCCCGCCTGATATTTCCTGACAGCTTCTTTCGAATCCGCGCTCTCGCGCGGGAATTGCGCTATCGCTCGAGATTTCCCCGCGATTCATGCAGGACTCAATCTGCAACATCCCGCCTGCTCGACGTGGCCGCCTGGGCCCGCCTTCCCGACCCGCCCGATAGGGTCTACCCGCCTGATTGGGCTCGTATGGTTCTGCCACGCGTTTTCTTCTCCTAGCCCCCTCCTGCTAATTTATCTGGTGCTCTATTCTTTTCCCTCCCCCTTTCCATCTGTCCTCCCTTCCGCTGCTTTAGGGGCTGCGCAAAACACACGTGGCAGGTAAGGAAGATATTCCCCAAAGGGGGTACGATCGAAAACGAAGATGGCGGGTACCGAGGGTTTGGGGTATACGTGTTGAGTGGCACGCCAGCAGATAGAAGCCAACAATCTTCATGTTAGTGCGGAGTGTGCTTGCAAACGGGCACGGGATTGAGGGGCCCAACGACGTGTTCACCGTGCTCCCCTGTATTCCATCATATATTCGCTCAAGCTTTCACAGGTTCGCTCGCATGGGCCCCCCGTGCGGGCCCCTGACTGCCGCGGCGGCGGTCGCGGTCCATGTGGCGGTGGCGCTAGGGATCTGGAGCTCGACGCCCACGCCCATCTGCCCGCAGCCAGTGTGCCCGGCCCCCTTCTGCCCAGCGCTGGTTCGTCCCGACTGCGTGTTGGCGGCAGTGGCTCCGGACCCGGGGCCGCCCGGGGGCTCTGCGGCTCTCGGACTGGGCGAGGTGCCCAAGGAGCTGGCGGAGATCCACCTGGCGGCGGTCCGCCTGGAGGAGCGGCTGGCGTGGCTGCAGACGGCGCTCGAGGAGGAGGAGTTTATGCGTGAGCTCGGACCGGACATGCGGTTCGCTCTTTGGTATGAGGACGACACCTACTGTCACGAGCGGGTAGCGCAGGCTGTTCACCTCGTTTCCGGCGCGGAGCTTCTGGATCCGATGAAGGGGCACTTCTACAGGTTAGGTGCCGCGCTCGACGCGTCCGAGCTGGTGGAGTAAATCAAACTGGCGGAGGGCGAGGCGTTCGGGATCACCAGGCGTCGGCGGCCGGCGCCCGAGGCCATCACGCTGCAGCTCGTGCCGCTGGTGGTGGATGACGGCCGCGCGGCGCCAGGCGTTGCGCCAGGCGCGGCGGCCCTGCCGCTGGCCGCGCCGGCTGCCCCGCCATCGGACGTCACGTCGCTGATCATCGACCCGGTGCATCCCCATTTCGGACGAGAACGGCACCCGTCCACTGATGCGGAGATGGCGGGAGAATATGCGAGGGCTCTAGATGTCAATCGTCGGCCGGTGCCAGTGAAGCGTGTGCCGATCTCCGACGTCGTGACCTTCCTTGACACGGTGCACATGCGGGTGCCCAAAATCTTGGATGACGAGGCTGCCGCCGTGAAGGCGGACGGAGGGCTGGCGGGCCGTTTGGGCGATGCCTTAGACGGTGGCACGAAGACGCCCCCAGCCGGTGAGGATGCGAGGACCCTGACGGTGAGCTACGACGAGCGCGGGGAGCGGCACCAGGACTGGCGGTCAGTCTGCGCGGAGATCTCGTACAGCCATTTCGGTGACTGGGAGAAGTACCATGAGGGGCCTCCTGTGACGTTGTCGTTGCTCAAGAACATCCAGCGTCAGGGAGGCGACCCCCGCCTGTTCTTTCCCATCTGGCGTCGAGATTCGGGCGTGAGCCCGCAGGGGCGCACGGGCGTCGAGTTGAAGCTGCTGCTGAAGAGCCTCTACCTGAGCGGCTGCTACGACCAGGTCAACGGCCCTTCCTTGGCGAGCGTCGAGGCCGTGTCGAGGAGGGTGTGCCAGACCATCGAGGCCTACTCGACAGGGGCCCCTGGCCGCGCCGACTGGGAGGGCGTGAAGCACTTCATGCCGCTGACCAATGTAACCTCAGTTGTGCCTCCAGAGCTCCGCTCTCGCGCTCATCGTCGTGCGAAGGAGGAGGTGGGGATCGAGAACATGCGACCGAAGGCGCGTGGCCTGCAGTCTGCCGCGGGCGTCAAGGGCGGTCAGCCGACCCTCCCCGGCCCGGGAGGGGGCGGCCGAGGTGGCAGCCCTAAGGGCGACCCGAAGGGCGGCGGACGTGGGGGCGGCCCGCAGGGAGGGGCTGGCGCGGAGGCGGGGAAGGCTCAGGCCCCGGGGTGATGGTCGTGGCTGGCGCCGGTCGTGGTCGAGCCGACGCTGGAGGCCCAGGCCCGGCGGCTGACGACGAGCGAGTGAGGCGCGTCGCCATGTTGCCGCTCTTCCCCATTCCTCTCGCCCCCGCGCCCGCCATGCCCAGCGGACGTGGCCGACAGGCCTCGGGCCTGAAAGGCCATTTGCGACGCCTGAATGCAGACGTGAACGCAACTGTGAAGGCTTTGAATTGGATGGCTGGGGGTCGGCGTCAGCCCGAGTACGGGCCACCGCGCACCCCAGAACAGGCTAGTGTGCATGCGCGCGTGCGAGGAAGGATTTTGTCCCTTTTGACCTCGGACGTCGCGATCCCTAGCCGGCGAGCGGCTTTTTTGGAGCTGCTGCACGGCCGAGCTGTGTATGATGCAGAGCCCGGTGGACACGACCTTGCCAGTTTCTCCAATGTTGCCTCTGTGAGCCTACCTGACAGCCTCGTGGGCGCCCCCTCGGTGCAGGAGGTTGTGGGCCCAGAGGCAAGCCAATGCTTGGGGCAGAACTACGAGCGCATGCTGCGCCCCTCTTCGGACTTTTTGGAGCGACAGGAGTCAATGCCCCCTATAACTCCCTATTGGGATCCTGTGCTGGCTCGGGGCCGCCGCAAGTTTCTGCGGCTGATGCGGGCGCTCTTGCGGGTCGGGCTGGCCACGCTTTTGCCGGCGGGCTCGTCGCAGGAGCAAGTCGGTATGTTCTTTGTAAAGAAGACCGGCAAAAGTAAGAGTCGTCTCATCATCGACGCGCGTAGGGCAAACAGGCGATTCGCTGCGCCCCCAGGGGTCCATCTCTGTTCTTCGGAGAGCCTCGCTAGGATCGAGGTCGCTCTCCCTCCAGGTTGCTCCAGTCTCACTCCTGATCAGCTTCGTAGCGCCCAGATGTCCCTGGGGCTGGCGGATGTAAAAGACGCGTTTCATCGTTTTCGTCTTCCTCCGGGACTAGCCAGTTATTTTGGTCTCGGTGTTGCCGCGGCTGGGGGGTTGAAAGCAGTGGGCGATATCGTCGGCGGAAAGATCTTGGGGATCGATGACTGCATCGACATCTGTTGGGCGTCTCTTCCAATGGGGTTCTCTTGGTCTCTTTACTTCTGTCAGCAGGCCGGGGAGCATCGTCTGGGTGGAGTCCCTGGCCTTCGCGATTCGGTCCTTCTTCGAGATCGCGGTAAGCCAGGGGTCTTCAGCTTCGTCGAGTCGGACACGGGCCACGAGAAGGGGGCGGTCCTGGAAGGCTCAGGGGTCTGTCATTACATCTACGTCGACAACCTGGGCGTTCTCTCATGCGACCCCTCCCACACATCGACTCTTCTGTCCGACGCGGCGGCCCGCTTTGAGGAGGCGGGTTTTGTAACCCACGAGCATGAGGTGAGCGTCAATTCCGTAAAGGCTCTTGGGACTCACGTGGATCTTGAGAAGTTTGGAGTCTCGCTCGCACCTGCTAGGCTGTGGAAAGTGCGTCAAGGGGTCCTTTACGCCCTGTCGTGTCGGAAGCTGCCCGGTCGGGTCTGGGAAGTGCTGTTGGGTCACCTCGCATTCTGTGCGCTGATCAATCGTAGCATGATGAGCGTTTTCAGGAGTATCTACGCGTTCATGAACAAGTACTACGCTACGCCCATGCCTTTGTGGGACACAGCTAGACAGGAGATGTCGGCTGCAGCCTCTCTGTTGTTCTTGATGGATGCTTCGTGGACTTTACCCTGGTCCCCAAACGTCGTGGCGACTGACGCCTCAGAGGAGGGGTTCGGGGCCACGGTCTCGGAGTGGGACACCCAGGACGTCTCGGAGGTGGGGGGGATCTTGGAGAGAGGTCGTTTCCGGAGGCTTCCTGGAGTTTCTGCTCGGGCCAGGTTTTTCGGAAGTTTGGAGGAGCTGGGGTCCGACGAGGAGGAGAGCGAGTCTGAGCGGCCGTACGACGTCGACTCGGATTTTCCTGAGGTCCCCCATGCAGTACTCACGAGGGCCCGCTGGAGCACCCTACTGGCAGGTCCGTGGAAATATTTTGACGAGGGTATCTTTGCCTTGGAAGCCAGAGCCCTGCTGTTGGGATTCCAGGCGCTGGTGAGCGAGTACAATGTCAGAAACGCGAGGGTGCTCTTCTTGGTTGACAACGTGGGGGTATGCCTGTCCTTCGCCAGGGGGCGCACCACGGACTTCAGGACCCTGATGTGTATGAGACGCATGGGATCGTGGTGCTTGGCTCTTGGGCTGCGTGCATGTTTTCGATGGATACCATCTGAGTGGAATACGGCTGATGAACCCTCTCGTCGCTTCTCAGTAGAACATGTTGGCTCACGTTCTGTTCCCGACGGTGCTGGTTCTTCTGGCATCATTCCGTACCCACTCAAATGTGATGATGAGAGGGCCGACTCCTGGGCCGGCCCGGGCTGTTCCTCGGGCGAAAGCGCGGCCAGGCCTGCTGCCGGCAGGGTCGGCATCTGCGCCCTCGACACCAGTGGCTTCGAGGAGTTTGGTGGCGACAGTGTCAACTCCTCCACCCCGCAGGCCGACCCGTTCCCGTCGCCTACCGCCCGGGGATATGCTGATGGCGAAGCTCGAGCAGGCTCCGAAGGAGCACAACGCGCCGGCCCTCGACGAGCTGAACGACGAGGAGGCCTCGAACGTGGTCGAGGAGAGCGACGCGACCTCCGACGCGGTCCAGGTCCGAGCGCGGCCGGCCCGCCGCACGCGAGTGTTGGCGGCCCCACGTCTAAAGCGAGCACGCCAACCCGTGGAAGCGAGCCGCCTACAAGGACTGGGCCTCTTGCCGCTGGAGTCGAGCGCGGTGCAGGCGAAGACGGAGATCCAGTACCACGAGGAGGTGTACACGTGGCGAGCTCGGGCCCGCGAGTTGGGCGAGCCTCTCGGCGTGGCTGTCGAGGTGGACGCCTCGGTGGGGCGGCAGCCTCAAGAGCTTTTCGACCAGGGCGAGAACCTCAGCAAGGGCGAAAAGCTCGTGGCCGGGTTGGAGCATTTCCTGCCCGATTTCAAACGCCACGGTGGCCTTCATCTATCCCGCTGTTATCGAGCCTTGAAGGAATGGAGGCGCCGCCGTCCGCCGCGATCGCGCCGCCCCCTGGCCTTCAGCATCTGGGCGGCCATCATTTGGGAGCTGTGCCGCGCCAGCTGCTGGAACATGAAGGTCTACGCGCTGTTCATGCCGGTGACGTGCATGCGGCCGTCGGAGCCGCCGAAGTTGTTGAAGGGGGATCTCTTTGCGCCAGCGCGCAGACTCTCTGCCTCATGGATCTGCTTCGCTTTTCGGCAGGAGCGGGGAGCGGCGTCCAAGACATACGCGACGGACGAGAGCATCGACCTGAGTTGCAAGTGGGTGCCCTACCTGTCGTCGGTGGTGGCGGCGCTCCGGGCTGGGGGCCCGAAGTCCAAGGTCTTCAACTTCACGTGCAACAGCTACACGCACCAGTTCAGAATCGCCTGCAAGAAGCTCGGGCTGACGGCCGTGCCTTATCAGGCAAGGCACTCAGACGCCTCCATCGACGCCGCCATGAAGTACCGCACAAGAGCCGAGATCAAAAGCAGGGGAAGATGGAAAGCGGACAGGTCGGTGTTGAGGTACGACAGTATGGCCAAGATCGTCGAGAGCGTGGGCATGCTGACCGGCTCGTTGGCGTCTCACGTGCACAGGTGCGAGCTCCAGCTCGGGGCCCTTTTGTGCGGCCAGATCGACCCCTCGGCCATCGCGCCGCCCGTCATCCAGAGCTCAGCCCCAAAGAAGCGACGCCGTACCTAGCTGATCTGTTTGGTGGCACAGGCGGCGTCGGGCGCGCGGCGGGCAGGTGCAGTATCCGAGCCCGCCTGTGGGACAAGTCCATCTCTGACTCTCTGGGCCTCACGGTCCTGAAGAATATCCAGCTCTTGTGCTCAGAGGCTAAAAGCAATAAGCTCGTGGCGGCCATGATCGCTATTGAATGCCGTTCGTGGGGTGTTGCACGCCGCAGAACCAATGTAATGCGCTCGCGATCCGAGCCCTGGGGAGTTACCAAGCCGGCCAAACCTTTCTCGGTCAACGACGTGGAAGCCCTCAGGACTGGAAACCTCCACGCCCGCAGGATCCTCAAGCTTATCAAGTGCATCCATGTTCTCGGTATCCCGTGGGCCGTTGAAAACCCTTCAGCAAGTTTGCTTTGGTGGGTTCCAGGTTTCTTGCAACTCGCGAAGGACCCCAGGGTGTACGTTAATATTATCGACCAGTGTGCCTTCGGTACTCGATGTGATAAATATGTCTGCCACGGTCGGGGACAATGCTGCTTCTCAGGAAAGCCTCACGTCGAGTTGGATGGGGAACGTATGACTGCCCAGGCCCAAACATACCCACCCCGTTTCTCCCAACTCCTGGCCAAGATCCTTTGCAGTGCGGCGGTTTACCGACGAGCTTGCCTCTACTCAATCAACTCATAAGCTCACTACCTTTCGGGACGTTCTGGGAATCTTCTGACGCATAATGCCGAGTATATACTCTTTAGCGTTCTCATGTCCAGTTGAGGGCCAGCTCGTGAAGACGGTGGCAGAGTTGATTAGACACATTGCTGATTGAAAAACAGAGTGCAGGCCTCTCATGTTAGTGCGGAGTGTGCTTGCAAACGGGCACGGGATTGAGGGGCCCAACGACGTGTTCACCGTGCTCCCCTGTATTCCATTATATATTCGCTCAAGCTTCCCTCCCCCCTCTCCCTCTTGAGCTGTGCCGTCGTTTACTCGACGTTTCAATAGGGAATCTTCTGACGCATAATGCCGAGTATATACTCTGCAGCGTTCTCATGTCCAGTTGAGGGCCAGCTCGTGAAGACGGTGGCAGAGTTGATTAGACACATTGCTGATTGAAAAACAGAGTGCAGGCCTCTCAAGTTATTATTGTGACCTCCCTCTAGTAAACGTTGTTTTTTCAATTGAATTGCCCCCCTTGGTGTCACCAAACTGCGCCCCTGGCTCCCCGTTTGAAACAATCGCACGAGACTTACTCACAAGTTATGCAGGGATCGCGCGCTGGCGTGGGATTCGTGCAATTCTTGACGCTTCGCGTATCCCCACCAGCCACCTTCCCTGGGGGCGACCCTGGGCTTGGACTCATCGTCCGTGGGTCTCACGTTGTTCAGACGGTCCTTTGACGTGGGTCGCCCCGCCGCGACGGCGGAATGCCCACCTGGTCCGCTGAAACCGTTCTCTGCCTGGGTCGCAGGCGTGCTCCCGTACATGACTTCACAGTCTTGCAGCGGTTGGCCGTGGTGTGCTATCCAGTGGCTAGTGGTGCACCGCTCGCCGCGAGGGTCGGTGCGCACTGACGCCTCCCCATCGTCGCTCCCGCGCTCAACCTGGTTGAGCGACCACTCCCTGGGACTTCGTGACTACGGACTGCTTTGCTGCAGTGGGTATGCGGCAGCGTAGCTTTCTCTGAGCGCTTTCCTCTTACTGGCCCCTCTTCGTGGGTGGAGAACCGCTGTTTGTCACTTAGTCGCTTCCGGGTACACGCCCCGTCACTCTCGATTGACCGCGTGTCTCTCTCCAGGTCGGGTGCAGGTGTACCCCTGCGCTGCGTCACAGCATGTCGTTGATCTCTCGCGTGCAGACGCATCCCTCCGCAGTTGTTCTGAGGTTGACCCCGGTTGTCTATGACTTCAGGCGTGCCCTGTCAGCCGCCGGATGCGTTTTCTGAAGCTGTGACGGTTCGCTGGCGCTGTCAGAAATTCCTCTCCTCGCTGGACGACGTCAGCTCTACGCCTTCGGTCCGCTCATACCGGACAGACACCCTGGGCCTCCTGACACCTCTTGCACGGAGACTGATTCCCACTACCATGCGATTGTCGGACCGACACGATCATGACTGGGGATGTGCGGCGCGCCATTTTGGCTGCGTCCGCCCTGCTTCCTGGGTGGCTGACCCCTCAGACTCCCTTGGCTGCAGTTTGCACCGCCGCCTGATCCGCGGCCCCCGCGCGCGCCCGGGTAATTCGTCACGGCCGCAGCCCGACCGTGACCCGCCGCCGCCGGCGCTTCCGCCTGGGGCGGTATAAAAAAATATATCCCCACCAGCTCTTGTAGCTAATTCGGTTTGCCCGTTGGCCCGGGCACACTGCTCGCCGCCTGCCTCTTCGCTCGCGGCCGCGACCAAAAAAATACCCCCACCAGCCTATCGAGAAACGATGCCCATGAGAGTTGACGGGGGGAGAGGAAGAGACACGCATAGTCCAACAGCGAGGGAGGCTTGGCAGCCTTCGTGGCCATGTCGAGCCGTTTTTGAGCCGTCTCGGGGCCGCTTGGAGCATTTTGGGAGCCATCTTGAGCCATATTGGGCTATCTTAGTCAGCTTGGAGGTCATCTTGGGCTCTCTGAGGCCGCTTGGGGGCCATTCGGGGGCCTATTGGAGGCCTCTCGGTGGCCTCTTGGAGCCCTCTTGGGGCCTATTTGGGCGCTAGTGGGACCCTCTTTGTGGGCCTTGGGGCCATCGTGGAGGCGGCCGGTCAAACGAGGTGGTGCACTCGATTTAGGTCCTCCCCTCTGGGGCCTCGATCCTTTTGAGGGGTGGCCAACAAACCCTCCCAGGGGCCGAACAAGGAGCCTGCGACACCTCGCGATCCCTCCCAAAAAACCTCAGGGAGGGGAGGGGGAGGGTTCTCCCCCCGAAGGGAAGAGGGGTTGTGGAAGAGGAAAAAGACCCTCCTTAGACCACCTGTCGCCCAAAGGGCTGGTGGGATTTATTCAGACGCCGCGCCCTCAACACCACCCGCGACCCACCTGCGACCCACCCGCGATCCACCGACATTGTTGTTTTGTATCATCAACATGCGCTTGCGGCGGGCTCGCTGCCTATGCCACAAACAACTCGGCGCCTGCGGCGAGCCTCTGAAGCTTTCGTTCGAACCTCGTCAATCGTTGGCGACCCCCGCCCCCTCACTCTTATCCGCAATTGCGGGGGCTTTCATTGTATTGTGTTTTTTTGACAGGGGTGGTTTGCTTGCGCGCAGCAGGCAATATGAGGGCCCCCCCTGTTCCTGTCAAGTACCAGTGCAAAGTGGTCGCGGGGCGCCCGCGCACGCTTCAGGTTTGGAGGCAACGTGTGCTTGGTATTGTGTTCTGCAAGGATGGTGAGGGGCGGGTCGGCATGGGTCTGGGTTGGCTGCCAGTCGCCAGTAGAAAAGGTGTGCTCTTAAACAGGGAACGGTGATCCAGTTGCCCCAAGCCGCAAGCCATGTCGTTCACTCCCACCCGCACTCCCAACACGTACGCAGCATCCGAGTTTATGAATCCCGTCAGAAGTGCAATGCCCGAAGCACCAGCACCGACTCACACATCGTTTTTCCTTGAAGCCGCTTGCTCAGGCTGAGTGCGGAACCAGTTTTGGTTGTTCTTCGTATTAGCGTTTTTGGACGGGTGTGTAAGAAAGAACCATCCGTCTACCTCAGTCAGTCTTGGTTAATCGACAACGCGGGCGGACGGCTGACAAAGAGAATTGGGCGGGGAAGGGGAAGCTCGAAACTGCTTGCTCGGTGGGGGAAGCCTCGGACCTGAGAGCCCGCGCATGGTCCAGATCTTGCCGCAAAGGGTACTTCGTATTGTTGTTTGTTGTCAGGGATGGTGGGCCTGCACAGAGTAGGCAACATGATCGCACCCCCGCCGTCCTGCCAACACCAATGCAAAGTCACCGTGGGGCGCCCGCGCACGATCCAGATTTTGCCGCAAAGTGCACTTTCTATGATTCTTGGTCGGGGTGTGCACCGGGCAGGAAATATGAGGGTGCCCCCCGTCGCCACCTCTGCCAAAAACCATTGCAAAATGATCCCGGGGCGCCGGCGCAGGAACCAGGCTTTGCCACGCAGAGTACTTCGCGTTGTGTGTTGACAGGAGTGGTGGGTCTGCCCAGAACGGACCTATTGAGATCACCCCCGCCGCCTCCGTCAACACCAACGCAAAGTGATCGCAGGGTGCCCGCGCACGGTCCAGTTTTGGCCACAACGTGTGTTTTGGTGTACGTTCGGACAGTGATGGTAGGCCTGGACAGAGCCGACACTACGAGGGCACCCCCGCCGTCCCTGTCAAAAGCCAACGCAACATGCTACCGTGGCGCCCGTGCAGGCTCCAGATTTTGCGCAATGTGTACTTGAAGTGTTTTGACAGGGATGGCGGGGGGGGCCCGCATGGTCCCGGGTTTGTCGCCGGTCGGGTGGGCGAGGGGGTGGATGTCAATCAGGAGCAGTGGTCATGGCACCTCTCCCAGATGCAAGCTGATTGGCTCACTCCCACCCGCCCTTCTAACACACAGGTGGTATCCGAGCCTCAGCACATTCAGCGGCCGTATTTGGATGGGCAGCTATTGGGAACCACTGTAGACCCCAGGTGCGCGTCGCTGGGGGCGACGTGCGCCACGCGGCACGTGCTCCACGTGCGCCAAGTATGCAGCACGCTCCAGCCGCGCCAGGTGCGTAACGCTCGGGGCACGCACGGAGCGTGCACGGTGCGCCCGCGCACATCGGGAAACATGTCGGCACCCATCATCCTCGTCGAAAGCCAGTGCACAGTCGCGGCGGCGTGGCCATCATGCTGCTTGGTGGGCCTGTGCACGGTAGGCAAAATGCCAGCACCCCCGCCGTCCCTGTCAACCACCGATGCGAAGCGGTCGCGGGGGGCCCGCGCACGATCCAGATTTAGCCGCGAAGTGCAATGTGTATTGTTTTTTGACAATGGCGGTGGCCCTGCGCGCAGATTCTGCCGCCCCCCCCCGCCGTCCCTGTCAAAAACACAAGACGAGGTGCTCGCGGCCCCCCCCGAGCATGATCCAACGGTTTGCCACAAGGTGCCTTTGGAGTTGTTTTGAATGGAGCACTGCGCTCTCCCTTCTCACGCCTCCCTCTGTCTCTCTTCCCTCCTGCGTCTTGCCTCCTGCTCGCCGTCCTGTCTTGGGGCCCTCTGGGGGGCTGCGACGTGTGAACTTGTCGCCATTTTCGAAGTGGCTGCCGGAGGGCCAGCATGGTGGGTACCGGGCGCATACTCATATTAGATCTCGCCATCCTTGGGGGGCTGCGATCCGCGAGACTGTCGCCACTTTCCAGGGCTGCCAGGAGGGCCATCGTAGTCGGGTGCCGAGCGCAGACTCGGATTAGACCTCGCCGTCCTTTAGGGGTTGTGTGATCTGCGAGATCGTCGCCGCTTTCAAATGCTGCTGGGAGGTCCAGCATAGTGGGTATCGGGCGCAGACTCCGGTTAGACCTTACCGTCCCTTGGGGGCTGCGATCTGCGAAACCGTCGCCATTTTCGAGAGCTGTTGGGAGGGCCAGCATAGTGGGTATCGGGCGCAGACTGGCAGTCGACCTCGCCGTGACTGGGCGGGGCTGCGCCCTTGCGAAACTGTCGCTGAGTTCGAAGGCTGCTTGTGTGGGGGGGGCAGTAGACTGGCATCTTACCGCATGCTTAGGTTAGATCTCGCCGTCCCTGGGTGGGTCTGCGCTCTGCGAGACTGTCGCCACGTTCTAAGGCTGCAGGGGGGGTGGGGGGTGGGGCAGCAGAGTGAAACCTTGCCGCATATTTAGACTAGACCTCGCCATTTTTAGGGGAAGTTGTGATCTGCGAAGCTGTCGCCACTGGCGCCACACCCAGATTCAGAAATTGCCAAAGCCACCCGGGCTTTGGGATACCTTTGGCACTATTTGATGCAATTGTCCTTCGGAACTGCACTACTTCTCCAGAGGAGGAGGAGGAGGAGGAGGAGGAGGAGGATGAGGAGGAGGAGGAGGAGATGGCGGAAGAGGACAAGGTAGTCCATCGGGCCCTCAAGTTCACTTTTCCTTCGGATCCTTAAATTCGGAGCTATCGAGGGCGCAGTGGAGCGATTTGATGCCATCGTGGGACGCCCTGATCAGTCTTTGTCGCAGTTGTCCTTCGGAGATTTGGCTTTGCCCCTGCTTCTGGACGGGCGCGACTATCGCAGATTCATACTTTTGCACGAAGCCACCCAAGTTTGGGGACGCCTTGGGCATTATTTGACGCAGCTGTCTTTCGGACCCGTATTGTCTTCCACTTATTCGGAGGAGGAGGAAGAGGAGGAGGAGGAGGAGGAGTTGGCGGAGGAGGAGGAGAAGGAGGAGTAGGAGGAGGAGGTGGCCTACCACAAGCTTGCTCTTCAGGTCCGATCCATGTCGAAAAAGAGGCCACGCCATCCTCGAGAAGAGAATCAGTCTAGCCGGTTTGGCCACGCGTTACAACAAGGGTTGGGCACGTCGCCAGGGTCATTTGAGACAGGAATTGGCCGGGTGTGGGTGCCTATCGCCGAACGGGTGGGGGAGGGCGTGACGATCATTAAAAAGGAGTACTGAGTCCCTTCACCAAGCAGAGGAATGAGGGGCTTGGGGAAAGGGAAGAAACAATTCGTTACAGCCAACCGCATAGTAAGAACGTTCAGCTTTCCAAGGCTACCCCTGCACCCTGCCCCTCTGGCCGATCCTTGGCCGCTCTCGCTGGCCGCACCCTGCTCGCACAGTGTCGACATCATGGTCTTCCAAGGCCCTTGCACTCTTAGCGTGCGTTCTTACTATACGGGTTGACTGTACCTATACGACCACCTTTCGAGTGATTAGGAGGTTGGGGGGGAGGAAGCAACCATCGGACACCATCAAGACACCATCGGGACACCATCGGGGCACCATCGGGGCACCATCGGAACACCATCGGGACACCCTCGGACACCACCGAACACCGCGGGACACCGTTGGGACACCATCGGAACACCAACAGGACACCATCGGGACACCAATCGGGATACCAATCGGGACACCAATCGGGACACCAATCGGGACACCATCGGGACACCATCGGGACACCATCGGGACACCATCGCAGCACCGTCGGGACACCACTCGGGACACCAATCGGGACACCACCAGGACACCAATCGGGACACCATCGGAACACCATCGGGACACCAACAGTACACCATCGGGACACCAAAACATTGGGACACACCGGGACACAATGGGGACACTATTGGGACACCAATCGGGGCACCACTCGGGACACCACCAGGACACCATCGGGACGCCGTTGGGGCACCATCGGGACACCACTCGGGACACCAATCGGGACACCACTGGAACACCATCGAGAGACACCGCCGGGACACCATCGGGACACCGCCAGGCACCATCGGGACACTGCGGAACACCACAGGACACCACGGGACATCGTAGGACAATGTAGGACACCACAGGACACCACGTCGGGACACCCGCGGCGCTCGCGTGCCACGCGGACGGGGAGGGAGGGGGGCGGACTTTTGTCCCAGCGGGGGCGCCTTAGCAATAGAGGGTTCGTTCTTCTCGCCCGCCCACGCAGCTTCGCCTCTCCCGCACGCACGCCCTGAACACGGTACCGAAGCCGATTTCCCAGTGGGGGGCTCTCCGTTCCTTTTCTCCGATACCACCTTCTCCCAGAGGGCTGGTCGGATCTGCAGTCTTGCGGCAATAGTCGTGCAGGTGTATGTTCAAGGGGAGGCACGATAATACCTTCCCGCGAGCAGGGGAAGGAGGGGTCTAGAAGGGGGAAGAAAGCAACCCCTCTATACCACCTTCGCCCAGAGGGCTTTGAATTCACAGTCTTACAGCACTGCGGCAGTACCCGTGCGTCTAACTTGTGCTTCCCCAGCTCCTGATCCATTCGGCGGAAGTCGGCCACGCGCGAAGGGAAGGCTTCTTAGAAGCAGCCTCCTTCTAAGAAGCCTTTCCCCTCCCCCTGCCCCCTTGTGCGCGTCCCCAACCACAGCTTGCGAATGTTCCAGACGGGCTGCAGGAATGAGGGCCAATAGATATGTTGAACATCCTAAAACGTTTCCTGAGCCAAATTCTATCGTGACATCATTTTCGTCCTACCAGCTCCCGATCCCTTCGGCGGCAGCTCCGGCGGGCCACAGGCGAAAGCGCAGAAACATTACGAGCCGCGCGCTCCTTAGCGACTGCGGCGCAGCGCCCGTTGGTTCGTCGTCGCTGCTGCCGTCGTCGTCGTCGTCGTCGTCGTCGTCGTCGTCGTCGTCGTCGTCGTCGACGCGGCTGCTGCCGCCGTCGTCATCGCCGTCGCTGTGGCCGTCGCCGTCGCCGTCGCCGCCGCCTCCGCTTCCGCCGCCGCCGGCGCTTCTGCCGCCGCCGCCGTCGTCGTTGTCGTCGTCGTCGTCGTTGGCGTCGTCGTTGTTACCGTCGGCGTCTCCGTCGTCGTTGTCGTCATCGTCGTCGGTGGATTTTCGAGAGCCCAGGTTTCCCAGCGTGTTCGGGCGTTTGTGGGCCTCCTGGGGTGCCATCTGGGCATTTCTGGCCACCGCTGGATCCATCCGCCTTCGAAATTACGGTCAGCACGCGATCCATTACTACAGGTCCAGGGGTTGTCGTCGGCGTCGTCGTCGTCGTCGTCGTTCGTGCGTCCGTCCTTCCGTCCGTTCGTCCATACATCCGTCCGTCCGTCCGTCGTCGTGGTTCTCTCTCCTGAGGCGTATATTTATATGTGTGCTTGTACACATGGATGTATACGTATTCAAATATACATATCTGTCTATGTATATGTGTATGTGATTGTGTTAGCCAGCTTGGACCCCAAACAGTACGTTCTTGTAGTCTATGCGGTGCAACTTGTGTGGTGCAATTAGTTTTTTCCCACGCGTTGACACATCCCATGCTCTTGCACATATCCCACCCACCCACCCGCAACTTGGTTTGCAAAACCCATGCGGTGCCGATTGCGATGTATGCTTGGCGTTGGCTTGTGCATCTCCGCGGCCGCGCCAAACCAAACACGCGCGCGCAGCGGCTGGCTGGCTCGGTGCAGCCGACGCGGCCGCGGTGGCGCTGACCGATGGGCGCATCCCAGCGGGCACTTCATTGCGAATCGGCGACTTGGGCGGGCGCGATGACGATAGTGGCGATGCTGGTGACGATGTTCGCACCGACGAAGGCGCGGCCAGTGCGGGCGCCGATGCTGATCACGACGACGACGATGACGGCGTCCTCGCGTCGGTGATGAAGCTTTTGTGACAAATTCGACATGCGCGCGCGGCCGACGCGCGAGAGTGGCCCGCACGGTTCTATTTGACACGGACTGTGCCCCCCCAGCGCGCGCAAAAGCGTGCAAATGATGTCGGCATGCGGCGCCAGAGGGCCCTTTTGGCAGAATTCCATAAAGATGCTGAAACACCGGTGGTTTTCTTTCAGAATTCGCAAGAGCGCGCGCGCAATTGTTTTGAACAGCTGGTGTTCCGAAACTGATGTTTTGACACTCGGTGTTGAATTCGCTGCGAAACCGAAGGTTTTTTTGCAGGATTTCGGCATGCGCGCGCGTGCAGTTCGTCCCACGACGACGCGCGCGCAAAGGCGTTCGAACGATTTCGACATGCGCGCGCGAAGCCCGTATGGTAGCATTTTTAGGACATGTGGGACAACCTATAGTTTTCTCAAGAATTCGCGAGAGCGCGCGCACCCTTTTTGAAAATCCGTGTTGCGTTGTTGCTTTTGTTGTTGAACATTATTACTTCTAAAGAATAATTATTGTTGGGGCCCCTGGTGCACGACCCCCCCGCCGCGCCTAGGCCGCAGCCACGTTTTCATCATTTTCGTGAGGAAGTCTCAGGCAAAACGGGTTGGTCCGGATCCGGTTGTGTTGTTACGATCGGTTTTCCCTTGCAAAAAATAAGCTAAAGTGGACATTTCTTGTTCTAACATAACCAAACTTCAAGAATCCCTTGCAAAAAATAAGGTAAAGTGGACATTCGCGCGCGCAAGACGAAATCCTTCCAAAACCTTAGTTTTCGTAGCGATTTTAACATAAAAACATCAAAAAACCAATGGTTTTTCAAAAAAAATGTCAAAATTTCATCCCGCGCGCTCTTGCGGATTCGTAGGAAACCCAACACTTTTTAAACATTTCTGTCAAACGGGCTTTTGCGAGCAACTTTTTCGAACTTCTGCAACAACGGTTGCGCACCTGCCAGGGCCATCATCCCTGTCAAATAATACCATGCGGGACACATTCGTTTTTTCTTCGCGCGCGCACGCCGTCGTCGTCGGCCGCGGGGCCCTGAATAGTAGCCACGGTCGTCCGCATGCCACGAAGTGAAGTGTCCGAACGTCATAGGGCGGGAAGCTGGGTGTGGGTGGTGGCGAAGAGTCGTTTGGAAATTTGGTAGAGCTTGAACCGGCCCCCCCACAAAGTGGGGGTATTGCCCGCCTCCTATGAAAACCCTGGCACTGGTGAGAACGGAGTGTCCCCACGTGCTAGTAATTGTTGTTGTTGTTGTTGTTGTTATTATTGTTGTGTTCTTTGTTTAAACATACATACGAAACAATAGTAGCGTCAGTTTTAATAGCGGTTAATAATTGTATATCTATATTAAAAATATGTTCCCTGGACCATCGATTTCGCAATTCTTCCGGAACCGACGTTTTTTTTTTTTTTTTTTTTTTTTTTTTTTTTTTTTTTTTTTTTTTTTTTTTTTTTTTTATATATATATATATATATAATATATATATAAATTAAAAGGATTTCGGTACGCGCGCGCAACGACGCGCGCGTGTGCATTTCGTCGTTTTTGCTCTCGCCAGGGATTTTTGAGATCCGATGATTTTTGATGAACGAGTTTGCGCGCGTAGTAGTTTTTTTGCAGAGGATGGCGGGGGGGTTCGATACTGGCCTGCCTGAGATGGTACGGATTCATTGGTAGGACGGGCGATTGGGCAAAATCATGTTTAGAATGCAATACGATAAGGGTGGGCCCATAAAGCTGGGGGGGTGGGGGTGCTGGATCTTAAATCTTCATTGCGAAGGAGAGTTGACTACCCTGCGCCGCGCTTGACCACCTCCACTGCTCGCGCAATCATCCCACCCACCCACCCGCAACTTGGTACGCAAAGCCCCATGCGGCGGCGAGCGATGAGTGCTTGACGTTGGCGGGTCCATCTTTGCGGCCGCGCCAACCCAAACGCGCGCAGCGGCCAGCTAGTTTGGCGCGACCAACGCGGCCGCGGTGGCGCTGACCGCCGGGCGCACCCCAGCGGGCATTTCACTTCGAGTCGGCGACTTGGGTGGGCGCGGTATCATGGCAACGTTGATATTGGTAGACACGATGATAATATTTGTAGCGATGCTGGTGGCGATGCCGACACCAGCGACAGCGCGGCCAGTGCAGGCGCCGATGTTGTTCGCGCCGACGACGATGGCGGCGTCACCGCGTCGGTGATGAAGGTTTTGGGAAGAGTTCGACATGCGCGCGCGGCCGACGCGCGAGAGTGGCCCGCATGGTTTTCTTTGACGCGGATCGTGCCCCCCCCCCCAGCGCGCGCGCGCGGGCGTGCGAACGATGTCGGCATGCTGTGCCAGAGGCCGTCTGGCTGAATTCCATGAAACTCATGAAAACAAAGCTGTGGTTTTATTAAGACTTCGCAAGAGCGTGAGCGCACGCTTCAGTGAAAACAGATGTTGCGGAACCATGTCTTTTTGTGCGTGTTATGGACATCCGTTTTTGAAACATTGCGAAACCGACGGTTTTTGATAGATTTCGGCATGAGCGCGACGACGCGCGCGCGCACTTCGTCCCATTTTTGCAACGACTCGCAACGGCGCGCGCACGGGCCTTCGAACGATTTCGGCATGGGCGCGCGTGAAGTTAGTTTGGTTGCCGTTTCTGAACGGGTTGAAAAAATGAAAAAAAAACCCACGGTTTTCGCAAAAACTCGCAAGCGCGCAAGTTCTGCTTGAAAATCCGTTTTGCGAAGCCATTTATTTCATTTATTCTGGACACTCGATTTTGCACTCGCGACAACACCGACGGTTTGTTTGAATGATTTCGGAATGCGCGTGCGACAAAGCGCACGTGCGCACTTCGTCTCGTGTGTGTATATATATACATATATTGTTTCAAGGGGTTCTTGGCAACTGATGTTTCTTGATCAACGAGTGTGCGCATAATACTTGTTGCAGACGGTGGCGGGGGGGGGAGCGGATATTGGCCTGCTTGCGATGGTATGCGTTCATATGTAGGATGGACGATGAGGCAGACTCATATATACATTGCACTACGAAAAAGGGGGGTCGATAATCCCGCAGTGGAATGGGGGAAAACCGATTGTCTTTTCAGAAAAGAGAATGCATGGGATACAGCCTACGTAATGTAATACATGCGGTGCAACCTATGCGGCACATTTCGAATTGACACATCTCATTTCCTTACAACCACCCCACCCACCCACCCACCCGCATCTTGGTTTGCAAAAGCCATGCGGTGGCGATTGCGATGTATGCTTGGCGTTGGCTTGTGCATCTCCGCGGCCGCGCCAACCCAAGCGCGCGCGCAGCGGCGGGCTGGTTCGGCGCAGCCGACGCGGCCGCGTTGGCGCTGACCGTTGGGCACATCCCAGCGGGCACTTCATTGCGATTCGGCGATTTGGGCGGGCGCGGCATCATGGCGACGTCGACAACAGTAGTAGACGATGATGATCGTAGCGATGCTGGTAACGATGTTGGCAACGACGACGACGCGGCCACTGCGGGCGCCGATGCTGATCACGTTAGAGACGATGACGGCGTCCTCTCGTCGGCGATGAAGGTTTCGGAAAGAGTTCGACGCGCGCGCGGCCGACGCGCGGGCGTGGCCCGCATATTTGACACGGGTCGTGCCCCCTCTCCCCTTCCCCAGCGCGCGCAAGGGCGTGCGAATGGTGTCAGCATGCGGCGCCACTGGCCCATTTGGCAGAATTCCATGCGTATGTTGAATATTGTATAGTTTAAAAGAATTCGCACATGCTCGACCGCACACTTTTTGAAAACTGATGTTGCGAAACCATATATATATATATATATATATATATATATATATATATATATGTGTGTGTGTGTGTGTGTGTGTGTGTGTGTGTGTGTGTGTGTGTGTGTTCGGATGTTTTTGGGCCGTCGGTTATGAA